TTTTTTTTTTTTTTAATGTTTTCGGATCTAGAGTTTAGCGCGTTTGGAAAACTTCTGGGCAGGACTTTACTGTGAACCCTCGTTGTGGGAAATCGTCTGCCATGGAGATAAGGAAGCAGCCCGGAGCATAGTTTTTTGCGCGATGGCTTTTGAGTCGTAAGCTAGGCTTATTCAATAGACACTTGAAATCCTCGCACATGATCTCAGATGTAACTGTAATGACGGGAACTTCTGAGGAGGCTTTCGGCCGCAGACATTCAAAAGCCTAGTCTTCACAGCAGCTCCTTCTGCCATCTTGCCATGAAGAAGGGCTCCCTTGAGAGTTCTTGCCAAGTTCGGTGGCCCAAAATACTTTTCCCAAGCTAGGCCACAAGAGTGGGTACCCAGCCTCCTGGAAACTCGATGCAGCTGAAACCTCTACCCCTATAACATCGCCGTATAACCCTTACGAATCTGACACGTCTCCAAACCGTAGCCCCAAGCGCGAAACCCTAGACCCTGGCTTCTGTCGCAGAGCTTAAACGTAGTAACCATAATGCAACCAGATAATTTCTAAAGATACTCACCCATTATTCTGGTAACTTAATCTAAACTTAGCCCACACTGCCCTTGGAAGAAAACAGGTTCGGTCTGTGCGGTACCAACCACCCCCACTATCTTGGAAGAAAGCAGGATCCTTTTTACATGAATACAAGGAATCCCATACCTCAAGAAATATCAAGCGCACCATTGCAAAAGAGCGATGTCCCCAATTAGTTGTGAGCCCAAAAGTATAAAAGGATCCCTCCTAAACCCCAAACCCTAAATCCTAAACCCTGTAGTAAACCCAACGCTTTTGCGGCTCTTGGCTTCGGACTGGGCAGCGCGACCGCCATCTTTTGTTGCCACTGTCCAGCCATCTTCCCATGTAAACCACTCCGGTGACCCTGACAGGCTTAAGATTTAGGGGCTAGAGCTCCCTTATAAATCTAGGGTTTGAGGTTTAGGGTTTAAGGGTTTAGGGTTCTAGGGTTTAAGGAAGGATGCTTTTGGGGTCACGGGGACTTGGTAAGTATACTTATAACATCTTATAACCCTGTAAACCATACAGCAACCTCAGTTATCCCCGTTATTGACCTACTTACTAAGTCCCCGTGAACCTCTAATTATCTAGGGATGTAGGGACAGATCGAATGTCCCCCCAATCGGGCGGCAGGCCATCAACAACAAGATCAAACTCCGCCGAGGAGGAGAACGACGACGAAGTGTACACGGAGTAGGAGTAAGAGTTGGGTCTAGGGGTTAAGGAGTGGGAGTGGTGGTAAAAAGTGCAAACAATGACCGTAGGACTGACTGTGCCAAAACATGAAGATAGCAATGCTACCATGAGCGCTGGACCCCATAAACCCTAACGCCTAAACCCTATGTATGGCTGTGCCCTATGCGTTTTTCACCTCCCCTAGCCCTTAATGGTATCCCCGCTCCAGCGTGAGCCCTGAGCACGTCATACAGGGGCTGTGGGGCCTCTGGATGAAAACCTCAATATAATGTCTGCACAATCCCCATAATTTCCTCCTCAAAAGCCTTTTAATAACTGACTCCGCACAAATCCTGCCATTTTTGGCTTTGAGCAGTTCTCCGAAAATTCAGACTAAAGGCTTTCTGACAAAACTCTTTACATCGGCCTTTCGAATCAGTCGCAGTGTTCAGCAGCTATCGCAGTAACAATACATACACCTTCCGTATGTCACATATTTATATATGCACATACGTATATGTATGTGTATATGCATACCTTTTTACGCGCCACAAGCACAATCATAACTTGCAAGATCAACGAAACAAAGCTCACGGGATTTCTCAGAACCAGGTCTCCTTGTAGACGCGTCTATTCCATTAGGTTTAGGGTTTAGGGCAGCACGAGCAATTGGCTCGTAGTTCTGAAGCAACAAGCCATAGTAGTGCAAGGCATCACGCTGGTAGCAACGAATGATGAAGCCTCTGAAGTTTCACAAGCCTTTACCCTAGACCCCTAAGCTCAAAAACCCCGAAACCTCAACCCCAGGCCCCTACATTCCTAGATGATATGGTAGTTTCCATTAATTGAGGGACTCCAGCAGAGCCCAGAATACCATAATCCATAGGACAGGGGACCCCCAAAAAGCTTTCGCTGACTTTTGGAAACACCAAAATCCCTATAAACCCCTAAATAACACCAGTTTCGATTTCATTTCCATTTTCTTTGCCATTTGATTCTCCATCATCGGGGATAACCCTAATATTACCCCAATGGCTACCCCTAATTTTTGGAATCCCTAAAACCCTAAACCTCAAACCCTGAACGTTAAACCCTAAACCCTATACCTTTTCAGACGATTGGCCTTCTGTGAGAACCGGCTCGATAGTGAAGGTGGTGCCCTCCTGCCATCTCGCTCAGGCACGCAGGGGACATGTCTGGTTCAGGCGATGCTCGAATTGAACTACTGGGTTTAGGGTTTTAGGGTTTTAGGGTTTAGGGTTTAGGGTACTTGTATGTAGGCATGTTATGAATCATGAAGCACTCGTGTTATCTGTACTAGTACTCCTAAGAGACTAGAGTCTGTTACCTAATTTAACTTGAGTTTTTACCTGCCTGTAAAGGGGTGCTCAATAGACCACAAGATGATACAATACTTTTCATTGGGAGCCCCCCCAAAAGGTGCCCCTAATTTTTGGGAAGGCCTATACCCTAATCCATAACCCTAAATAGCCCTACAAAACACCCATATAATCCCTATGTACCCTTAAAAGAAACCCCTAATTTAGCAAACCTCTCTTTTGCGGCACGGCTCCTGCATCTTCCGGTTGTCGCTGTTCCGGCAGTGGAAGATCTGACAATGCAATTTAGGGTCCAGGACTTAGGGTTTAGGGGTCCAGAGTTTAGGGTCGAGGATTTAGGGTTTAGGGGTCCAGGTTTTAGGGTTGAAGATTTAGGGTTTAAGGTGAAACAAAAGTCCCTGGCCTCAAAGAAGCTGTGATAGATTTACGGGCCCCATAGAAGCAGAATTCTTAGGAGTTATATCAGGCTATATAGGGACATTAATCCATAATGATCAAATGTCCCAGGAATACCCCGGGACAAACGCTGTGCTTCAGCGGCAAGCTACTGGATGCTGGCAAGCCTCTTTAGGCTTAGGCTGTGCCAAAACAATCTTCGTTTCGACAGGAGAAAGCTATGGAGACAACTTAAGGATCACTGCAATGACTAGGACTCTGGAACATACCCAATTGCCTGCCCTCGTAAAGCACCTTATGTTGCTCCACATTTCATTTCTATATTTCATGTAGCAACGCTGACCTCGGGCAGTGCCCATCCAACAAACAGGTTGCTGTGTTTTCTACCGCAGCATTGGTCTCGAATGTGTCCTTCATCACGGGGCATATGCCTGCGGACGCTTTCAGCCGCTCGCCACTTGAGTGACTCGAGTGTTAATTTAACAAAAGACGTGCAAAAGCCAC